TTCTGATGTTATTTTAGTCTCGGTTGACGTTCCCCCACCAGCACTAAAACATTTCCCACGTAAAAAATCTGCTTCTGCTAATACAGACATTACCTGTAGTAAACAATATATTCAGATTGATCAAACTGACAAGAATATGTCTCATGCTACAGATTTGTTTTAATTCTGACCTCAATCAACGGCACGGAACAGACATGTGTTAATTCTGACCTCAATCAACAACACGGAACAGACATGTTTTAATTCTGACCTCAATCAACGACACGGAACAGACATGTTTTAATTCTGACCTCAATCAACAACACGGAACAGACATGTTTTAATTCTGACCTCAATCAATGACACGGAACAGACATGTTTTAATTCTGACCTCAATCAACGACACGGAACAGACATGTTTTAATTCTGACCTCAATCAACGAGACGGAACAGACGTTCAAAATGTACCCATCTGTTTCTTTCTCAGTCATTTTGAATTCTGTCTACACCTACTATATTTTCAGCAGACGTGAGACGTATTTTGAACTCTGTTCCAACTTGTTTTATTCCATGAATCACAAACTAGCAGAACTCACCAACCAAGTAATGAAGAGAGTTCCAAAAAGGGAAGTAACTCCATGTATTATAATAATTACACATTATTTTACACTGATATCAGTGGTTACTATAATTATAACAATATAAAACCTACCAGTATTTCTCGTCCACCAATAGGTAATGTCTGATCTTCTTGTAACGTCTCTAGTTCCTTTACTTTATATCCTGTGGCTTTACCAAATCTAAAATATTTTATATTACTTCATTCATAGCAAAATAAATATTATGATCCCATTCAAGGCATAAAACACCAGTCTTATTCTAGAAATCAATAGTCACCAAATTATTTACCAGTCAAAGAGTTTTGTTTATCAAGTGGTGGTTAAAACAATACTCCATATAATTAAATAGATAAGCCCTGGTTGAATCTATCCAAAATCTCGGTATATTCCTTTAAATATTCATGCCATTAAATATTCAGGCTATATCTCTTGAAAGGGCAATGTAAAGATGTGAGGTTGAAACATTATTATAAATAATTAAAGGGAGATAACTTACTCTTTGCCTTCCAAATCATACAACGTTACACTTCGACCACAAGTTACTAGTATAGCTGAAAATATATATATACAGTTTAAACACTTCGACCACAAGTTACTAGTATAGCTGAAATATATATATACAGTTTAAAACACTTCAACCACAAGTTACTAGTGTAGCTGAAATATATATATACAGTTTAAAACACTTCGACCACAAGTTACTAGTATAGCTGAAATATATATATACAGTTTAAAACACTTCGACCACAAGTTACTAGTATAGCTGAAATATATATATACAGTTTAAAACACTTCAACCACAAGTTACTAGTGTAGCTGAAATAGAATTATACAGTTTAAAACACTTCGACCACAAGTTACTAGTATAGCTGAAATATATATATAGTTTAAAACACTTCGACCACAAGTTACTAGTATAGCTGAAATATATATATACAGTTTAAAACACTTCGACCACAAGTTACTAGTATAGCTGAAATAGAATTATACAGTTTAAAACACTTCAACCACAAGTTACTAGTATAGCTGAAATATATATATACAGTTTAAAACACTTCGACCACAAGTTACTAGTATAGCTGAAATAGAATATATATAGTTTAAAACACTTCGACCACAAGTTACTAGTATAGCTGAAATATATATATATAGTTTAAAACACTTCGACCACAAGTTACTAGTATAGCTGAAATATATATATACAGTTTAAAACACTTCGACCACAAGTTACTAGTATAGCTGAAATATATATATACAGTTTAAAACACTTCGACCACAAGTTACTAGTATAGCTGAAATAGTATATATACAGTTTAAAACACTTCAACCACAAGTTACTAGTGTAGCTGAAATATATATATACAGTTTAAAACAC